GGACAGTTTAACCAGTTCATCCCGGCGATTTGAATTCTTAAATTCACCTTTCAGTGCTGCAAAGAAATCACCTGAATCGTTTCGACTGTGCACATACCTTGCGCTTTGAAGCCAAAATTTTTTTCGAACGGAAGTGAAGTTTCTGTGATGATAAGGCGGAAAGAGAAAGAGAACTGCAGGAAATTTCTAGTAATTTTTTAAAACCCTCTATTGGTGCAATGTTTCTCAGCACTAAAATAACGAATTGTTCCCCTTTCATTTTTAACAAACTTTGTTCTGCGCGGTTATTGCTACCCGATAATTTTCTTGAATGCTCTTTATACAAACTGTGTTCATCCGTCTTTTCAAAGTGCATCTTCAAGGATTCCCAGTTACGACCGAAAAATTTGGAAAATCCAGAACAGAGAACATGAAGTGAGGCAAAAGCAAAAGTAATCTGCGGAACTAAATTTCCATATTGTACAGCTTTACACGACCTCATCCGCAATACTTCCACACACGGAACACAAAATTTCTATATTCTTTGAGTATTTCTGTCTCAAAAAATGAAAGGTTAAAAAAACCTTTCGACTGTATTGTCTACTGAGAAATCATTTTACATTTTTCCAGTACTTCTAGCCTCCCTTTATCCTGCTACGAATTTCATTTAAAAAGCTGGGCAAGCAAGTTAAGATTCGAAATTTCTAAAAAACTATTTTGCATGAAACGATTTTGAAGATTCTTAACATAGGATTCATTAACATGCAGTAGCATTCTTTTCTTTTTGCGTTCCGATAACTCAAGAATTCAAGCGAAGAATTCTAGGAATCACACTGGTTTTGTTAATTAACTACTGACGGCTTTGAAGTGATTTTGCTGAGGAGCAGCATGATTTATCGAAAAGACGCTTAATCTTTCACTGGAAATCAGTGAATTCTGTTTCGGCCAGTAGTGCTGAACCTTATACCGCTCCTTAAATTCGAGTTTTGTACGTTTAAAGCACGGAGTCAAACATTCAATTTTAACCTTGACAAGCTCCGCACCAGGTTTTGTGTATCAGTAAAAAGATTGGCTTGTTGAGTGATTTTGCTTTTGAAAACGCTTCTTCCCATGGTATCCAGTTAATGTCATCACCAAATCCTAAACAATTATTAGCAGTTGTAAATATCGTTTGAATTTGTTAGATTTTACAACTTTCTTCGGATCACACACGGTCAAGGAACATCTTATTAACTCATATACACATGCGCATCGCACCGATCTCCCCCCAGCCTTGAATTTGGGTGAAGTTCCTGCGCTGCTACATGAGCAGATTATGCTACCCACAGCGTGTGGGATTTTTGTTGTGGAAGCGAAGATAAAAAGCACGATCTCTGTCACGGTCAGTGAATTCAAAGTGGTGAAAAAGCGGGGTCTTTAAATTTCCGCCTTAAACAGCGCTCTCTCTCACCCTCCGCACCTTCGCGCTCTCGCTCCCATAAGCTTTCCATCCCCCGCTTCTTCAGGCTGTCTCTCCCATAAGCTCTTTCGTGGCAAAGATTGTTACGGTGAAGTACTGTAATAAAAACTATTACCTAAATGGAAAAATCTCGGATTTCGGCTTCTAATATTTTTGCGAAGAATGAAAACGATTGCGACTGTGTTTGTATGTATCTGATTTACTAAAAGAGTGATGCTTGATAGTACGCTGTTCGACGGAAAAGGAAAGCAAGTCAGAAAGCGACTTTCAGCTTCCTTTCTGGCACGGTCCGAGCCCAAAGACTTTAGCGGAAGCTAAGAATACTTGAACGTAAGTACGGCCCGATGAGAAAACAAACCTCTTCCAAGACCTGATTGCCCGTCATTATCGTCTTTGTCATTCTTTTTGCCTTGAATGCACAGCAGATATGTGAGAAGCAGGATAACTGGAAACGCGTGCATACCCAGCTGCAACTGGCCAAATATCAGCAACGAGAACATTCTGGATCAGCAAGCATTCAAAATGCATTTTACACAAACTGCTAAAACCTGTTGATGCTATCAGCCCGCTTATAAGCAACCTTCGCAAAAGCAAGCCATCGACAGTCTGCCGTCTGGTGACTGCTTTTGGCATTTACTGTCATGCAGGCTGTCCGGAGCGCTTACGCCCTCTCACAGAAGGCTGATACGGAAGAGGTTTTAACTTTCTGTAATCTAAAGTCATATG